CGACTGAGGTTGAAGTAAACATGGAGCTCTCAGCCGTCGGGGAGCGCGTCTTCGCCGCCGAATCCATCATTAAACGGCGCATAAGGAGAGTAAGTGCTCACCCAGGCTGCTCGTCGGGGCTTCGGCGTTATTTGTTGATGCTCGCTCAAGTGACATTTTATACGCGGTAGGTTAGCCTAGCAGCGTTAGCTTGCTAATTTGAGTCTCCCTGTGCTTTTACCCGCAGGGACGGATGGAGTATCTGGTCAAATGGAAAGGCTGGTCTCAGAAGTGAGTGGTAATGACACGTTAACGGCAGTTGTCGCTACGGAAGGAGCGGTGCGGGGCTCCCCGAGCTCGCTGAGTGTTAGCACGGCTGAAGCGGGGACTGTGTAACGGGGCTCATGTGAACGTTAGCTGACAAGGCCAGTGACGGGAGACAGTCGAGATAAAACATTCAAAAAGCAATATCAGCTGATTAATACGGTTTATATTGGGGGGGAGGGGAGACACTGATACACAGAATATGTATCCGTTTATACATGTTTCAATAGATATTATACATGCGCATACAACATCTCTTCAAATAAGTTATAAAAATGCACGCATTAGTAATAAATGTGTAAAAAGAAAACTGTACTTTGAAATGATGTTGGGCGTTATGATTTGCGAATAATTGAGCGTGCAATTATTGGTGCAGATACAGCACCTGGGAACCAGAGGAGAATATTCTGGATGAGCGTCTTTTCGCTGCATTTGAAGAAAGGTAAACGTTTCTTCGTTATTTCTGTAATTCCGGTAGAGAAATTAAATATTTTTGGAAGGTTTAAAAATAGCTTTTCTTCATTTTTTATTGCAGAGAGCGTGAGAGGGAGATGTATGGGCCAAAAAAGAGGGGACCTAAACCAGAAACATTTTTAATGAAGGTGAAAAAAATATTTCTATACATACTTGCATGTTTAATGCATTTATTATTATTATTATTTTTAATTCTGTTGCACTTTAATGCATTGGAACCATGGTATCATGTGCTTAGATTGTTTAATTATATTTGACTTTTTTTCATAGGCAAAAGCTAAAGCAAAAGGCAAAAACTATGAGTTCAGACGGGAAATGTCTCGAGACTTGCACGTGTCATTCCCAGTAGCCGAACCGGTTGTGACGCCCAGAGCACGTGAGGGACTGCGGACAGTCGTGCCAACGATTTTCCCACCGAGCACCATCAACAGAGGCGAAAGTGTTCGTGTGCGTCCACCGGACCTTGAGAGAGACCCACTGGCTCATGGGATACAACGGCCGCTGGATTTTGCCAGCTCACCAAAAAAGCGAGGACCAAAGCCAAAGTTGCGTCCAGGAGGTTCATCCACTGAAGGTGTTAGAAGAAAGGCAGATGAACCGTTATCTTATCGACCTTCCAAAACCGAGAGATCCGGAGAGACCTCGAACTGTGATGGCATCCATTTAACCCAAAAGTTTCAAGCAGAATCCAGCCACGTTCAGAAGCAAATGGGAAGCAGGTCAAGTGACGTCAAGTTCACACATGGTGGCACCATCTTAAAAGCTGGGCTTGGTGTTTTGGGACATCGACGGAAGGACAGCTCAAGTGGTGCCATAAAGCAATCCAAGATGAAACATCCTCCCAGAAACCATCTATTTCGATCCACCGATCAAGCCAGAGAGCAACTGTCTCTGAGTTTTGTAGAGGAAACCGATCAGTCCTGGTTGCCTTGTTTGAAGAATATGGAGAAAATTGTTGTTACTGACGTAACAAGTAACTCTTTGACTGTAACCATAAAAGAGAGTTCAACAGACAAAGGTTTCTTCAAAGAAAACAGATGATCATGGGATTTTTAGTTTATGTATGTATGTATGTGTGTGTGTGTCTATGAAATACTGTAATCAAATTAGAAACAACCTACATTTCTATATCATTTCTAGTCTATAAATGTAAAGTCTTGCAATTATGTACATAATGCCAAAAAAAAAAATATCGTTTATGTTTAGCTTTCATTTCCATTCACATTTTCTATGAAAATTAAGTTTATTTTTCTATTTCCCAGATTTTATGTAAGGTACACCCGTTGGTTCCTTCTTTTGCTTGCCTTCTTCAGCTTCATTATGAATGTAGGTATAGATGCTGTTAACCCATTATTAATGTTTCAACTTAATGCACCTTTTAAGGGACATTTAGTCCCTCTTTTATGAACTTGCGGTATTTTTCTGATTAGATTTTGTATATATTTGAAGGTCCAAACGGTAGTCCGTATGAAAGCACACCCTTTAAAAAGAGTGAAGGGAAATAAGCTACATGTATAATTAAACCCGTTGTAGGCCTAAATATATAAGGCACAAGCATTTATGGTTTAGATTCGTATTTCGTTATTTTTCGTTGTTCTGTTGAACATAATTGTGGATTTAAACATTTCAATATGAAGCTGCTTTACGATCCTTTTCCGCCTTCACAAACGAAAGCGTGTTTGATTGCTACAAATCATTTCTAACTTGCAGAATACCTAAGTGATGAAATAAAACGTTTTATTACATTTAAATGATGTCCACCTGTTTAATTAACGGTCTACAAGAGTAAACAAGAGTTCAGTATTTTTGCAGAGAGAACAATGTGTATCACATCGAAAATAAGTGTAATTTAGCTATGTCTGGAGAATTTATTCAAAATTGATCACGCATATTAAAAACGCGCCATTTTATCATTTGTAAAATCATTTAATTAACGCATTTTTTAAAACCCGAAAGCCCTTTAAATCGGGTTTTTACTACAGACAGTAAACAAAGACTTAAATAAACGGTAAACCGATATATAATATTTTAAACAGCATGTCGGCATATTTGGAAAAGATTTAATAATCACCTGAAAGACTTCTACGCTGTTGTAATTACATTCAAAAAATTGTTTAAAAGTGTTCCAAGTTGTTCAATGGCGGGAAACAAGCTGGCCAAATACAATCATTCGTCGTAGCTCAGATATTCACTCCGGTTTAAACTTATTTCTATTATAAAGATAGGCTACACATAATATTATTACATACAGTTATTCAATTTTATACATTTTATCATTAAGAATAATAAGCCACCGCACTGCCGTAAGTGTCATAGCGAACAAGAATTTGTAGTTTCTGTATTTCTATTTTTAAAGATCTCTAAAGAAAGAAATGATTTCATACTGGCGCTTAATGTCTGCCAACAAAACCCACTATCAGGCATTCTCAATATTTTTCAGTAATTACAAAAATACAAAGGCTAAAATTGGTTTCACGTGGGGCGTGATTTCAAATCGAAATGTAAAATTCTGTAATAAGCGCTTGTTGAGGAAGTTCAGTCCACCAAATGCCACAAGATGTCGCCATGAACTTGATACAACAGATCCGTATTCCTGTTAATAATCCCTTTAATTCCATCTATCACTGATAAACTGTGATTTTAGCTTCAAATTAAATATTCAGACTGCTCAATGTGTCAACTGTCCCCGTGTTTGTAGCCTATGTTTTCATTGGTTTCATTTCGGACTATCTGTGTTTTATGTTTTATAATTCAAATGTAAAAATAAACATCTGAAACATTAAGAATTCAACACTTACTGAAATAAATGTGAAATTGATTCTAATGTTTTGACATTTTAAATTACCTTTTGTATTTCCTTTGAAAGAAAAGCGCTATATTTGTTTCACCGCGATGAATATCGTTTAGCTTATCGCATTAGGGTCACACGGTTTGTTTTTTTAGTCCCGACAGCTTAAATGTCCTAATATTTGACACCTATATTATTGAGAATTCGCTATTTAAAAAAGTGAACGTATATTCCCATAATCATAATCTCGGAAGTGTAAAATTAAAATTATATGTTGCTTTTACTGAAAAAAAAAAGTTATGTTACTTGCACTTTGCGACCAATATTTGCTCAATGTGCGCCCAGAAAATAGATAGATAGATATAATTCAACATTATTGGTCTATTGTTTAATTCCTTCAAGTTTATATCAAGCTTAACTCCTTTATAAGTTATAACTTTATAGCCCTATATATATATAATGAATTTGAAATTGTTTATTATTAATGTGCATGAGATAATGATTTCTTATGCATTATTAAATTGTTTTAGAGTACTTTAATTTGTTTTAAAGTGTTGCCAATAGTCCCCATGTCCACCTCTTTTACTCAGCTGATGACTAACCTCTATAACTAACTAGTGAGTGACAGATATGACAGGGTCATCACCTTTGACATGGTGCTTTTAAAGCTAAAATGTGTTCATGTATAACCTGTGTTAAATCCATCCATGTTAACAAACACATTAAGTTTTTATTAGAAATATATGGGCTTGTTTTTACACATGTAGTAACCTTTTTGAGCTTGTCAAATATGTGGGAAAAGAGTCTTTTCACTTGTATTGAAGAGTTTATTCTATTTATTAATTACAATAGCAATGTGCATGAATGAACATAAAATAATAGAAAGCTATGAATGTATAAATTAAAGTGTGAATATAGTTGATTTCATTAGATTACAATTACTGCTTTAGCCTACATTTTCGACATTATTTTAAAATATAAAATTCAAATTATCAGCTGAACATCCTTTCCCTGTATTGCGGGTTGTGGGAAGAAGGGATGCAGCAAAAACCCGGAAGCTAACAATAAATTAAAATGTCTTACCTATTAGATTGTGTTTTAGTAACGTCTACACCTACGCCAACCCTAAACCTTACAATAATGCAAAAACAGTAATTATTGTTGTACAGTATGAGAAAAATTACACTATATTGATGTGCGCACGCCCAGTAGTTTTTGCTGCATCCCTTCTAGCCTGAACCCTTTCCAGCTTCACATAGCAGGATTTACAAATTACTGTCTTAAACTTCTTATTTAAGTGATATAGCTGGCAGTGAAATATAACTGATGGGCAAATCGTTTCATATAGTTTAGAACAAGTTAAATTCTTGTGCACTTAGAAGACAGAGAATTAAGAAAATAATGATTGAAAATCCGTTTGGAAGATGTACTGATGTTACTTCATCAGTAGACGGGTGGTGTTGTCACCAAGCAAAATTCTGAAAGGAAAAAATGGCTTTATTAACAGTCAAATTGAGCAATATAATAAACGGCTGATTAATGATGATTTCAGTGCTTCCAATGGAACTCACAATGCTTGACTCTATAGTCTCACCTGACTAATGCAGCAGCGATAAGGCCACCAGTAATGGGTCCCACCCAGTAAACCCAGTGGTGAGTCCAGTAGTTGGTCAGCACTGCAGGACCCAGCGCTCTTGCAGGATTCAAGCATGTACCAGACACATCACCGCTGTAACCCACAGAAGATATTAATCTCCAGACACAGGGAATTATGTGTAACATAATCGATTAATTCACCCCACTAGTATATTAATAATGACTGTGCAGCCCACCAAAAATGGAACCAAAGGACTTTTGCTCTTGGCTTTAACTGCACCCAGTAAGACCACCATGGTAACTAGACACGTCATGGCAATTTCTCCAAATAACGCCTTCATAATAAGCTCATCAGCCTGGAGAACCGTAAATGCCGCACCTTGAGCTTGTGCATATTTCTCATTTGAGGTCATTCCCTGAAAGCAAGCATGAAAGACATGTCGAATCCGTTGAATTGAATGTTTCAAAACTGCATGTATCTTACTCACGTTGGCCATGACTGCACCAAGTAAACCTCCAGTCAGCTGGGAGATCAGGTACAGCGCCACCATTTTCAGCTCTATTCCACCACAGAGGAGGACAGCTATGGTGAATGCTGGATTGAAATGTGAACCACTGTGTCCGAAGAAAAACTAAATCATTGCATTATTCATCAATAAGATGCTTTTTATCCAAGGCAACTTCTAGGGTATGCTCAGGACTGGGACAAAACCTTTGGAGAAACCAGACTAGACCAGACCAGATCTAGCAAGCCACATCCTGGTGAAACTGCAGGGGTCAGTGGATTAATACTGTATTTATAAGAAGAAAATATAAGAGGTTAACAGTCCTGACTAATCTATATATATATTAGATATATAAGATTATTTTATATTACATGAGAACTTTATAATTAATTTTATTTATTGAAAATCTAATTTAATATAATTAAAAAGCAAAATACAATTTCATAAATATATACATCTAAAAAAAATATAGAATTAATATTCTATGAAAAATATAATAATTATTATAAAATAAATAAATTGTAATATATATATATAAATATAAAATATAATTCACAATATATCTTATAATTATATATATATAGTTTACATAAAAACAGACTTTGTAATTTAGACATATTTGATAATTATAGATAATTATATACATATATAATTATATATGTAGTTTTAAAATGTATTGAATTTTATTTGTTATATAGCAATATATAGTATTTTAATATAATGTAACAACATGTAAAATATATTTAAGAAAAATATGTATTTTATTAGGCTATATATTACATCATAAGGTGTGTTAATATGAAAAATATTATTTGTAATTTATTTTAATATATACATTTGTAAATTATATATATAATATTTTTACACACACAAACACATATATATATATAATATATATATATATGTGTGCGTGTGAAAATATTATTTGTAATTTATTTTAACATATACATTTGTAAATTATATATATATAATAATTTTACGCACACACATATACATACACATATACAGTACATACATATATATATATATATATATATATATATATATATATATATATATATATATATATATATATATAT